ATCCACCAATTTACGGTAATGAGTAAGGAATATGAATAAGAAATCCGGTATCTGATAATTATGTCTTGTCGTCCTGTGAGTTATGAACACGAAGGTGGGTGAATATTTGTAGAACCTAGTTGATGAGAAAAATTGAAGACATCAGTATCATCAATAGTCCCCCAATTAGTAACTCTCAGAATATTATTATTATTCCCTTGGGTTTCGAGTGGAACATAGGGCTTCAACAACACATCTCAAGCCTCTTCCACTTTCTGTCATCCTCTGAGTCCACGACTGTCCATTATCTTTCATCTCCTCCCCACCCTTGCGCTGACAATCTACTCATCGCTTCCCACTCTGGTTCCACTCGACTGATGGTCTGCATTGAGCGTGATTTCATCCGACAGGCTCCTCAAAGTATGCCCTATCCATCTTAATTTTCTCTCACAGCATATTTGTTGAGCGATAGGCCCTTGGTTAGTTCGTCACCACCCAGAGTTTCTTGTTGCTAATTGTTTCTCGCCCACCGGCTGGTCATTTTATCTTCAGAATGGAGTCAGCGAATTGGATAGCTGTTGATATAAGTTTGTAACTTGTAGGAAATGCTTTTCGTGACAAGCACTGCAAGTTTCTGACTCGTATCGAAGAAATGACCAACTTCACATTTGTGCTGAAAATGACTCTCAGTATACGGATGACCGAAACCCCCTACTGATATGCCCAAATACTGCCCTCTCTTGCCAACCTAGTTCTATTTTTTGTAACACATTTCACCGAAAAAAGTCGTAAGAAATGCCCTATTCACCTGAAGCATTGGAGGCTTAATATCACCTTGTCTGACTTTCCGGGCTTCACTAACACATACTAAGTGTAATCTCGTGATGACTACAGCTCATGTCATCATTTAATCTTATCCTCTATGATTTTTCTTAGCTGGCCCCCCAACTGCTCATAAGCTTCCAATTCCTCATCACACGATCACCCTCACCCGCCAACATGTCACTTTCAGACCTACATCCAACTCATCGTCTCGCCTTCGAGTTCCCCTAGAGGACCTTGTTTAATGGGTGAAGTTTTTCAAAGACCTCCTCCGCGTATATCCAGTCTATCTCCACTTCTTTCTACGTATTTGTTAGCTAATGGCTTCTTGGTCGACTCGTCTTCAGAATTCCTTGTTGCTTATCTCTCTTGGCGGACCATCTAATCTTCAATATCGAATCAAGACGGCAATTTTCGGCGAGTGTAGCCCGCAGCTATTTCGTCCCAGTTTGAGACTCGTCGGAAGTATGCTCTCCCTGCAATGGGTTCAAAACCAGGACCTTACAGTTACAGCCACTGCCACTCGACTGCTCAATGGCCAACCAATGAATTCTAACTTCCACCAAATCGTGGTTTTAGCGCGACCATCAGCAAATGTCCTTAATGTCCACTGGATGCATCTCACTGGGCACAACTTCTCACTAGAAGTCCAGGCAACTTCGTCCTGCAATCAGTCACTAGCGAGAATCAGATTAATTTTCAACAGTTAGTTTGTAGGGATTCGATTTGTTTCAAGTTTGGCCACGGATTGTTTCCAAGTTTTTTGTTTCAAAACTCAGTCTTTACCAAACAAGTCTTTCCGCTTTTAGGCTATGAACTACATTTATGGTGTGTGTGTGCGACACCAAATAATACCCAGATACTAAGGCTGTAACAAGTGAAGCGGGATTCGAACTCTCATCTCACTGGTTGGAAGAGGAATGATTAGATAAATGAACCCTGTCTTCACAAATATTAACCACTCAACATAATACTCACTTTGATTTTCGACAAGTTGAGGCGCTCAGGCTCCCCATTTTAACAAAAGTACATGCAAAGAGTTGCAGCAGACTTTTATCAACAGCTGTCCACTTCGCATATAGATGGCCCAACAAAAAAGGATAAGTTAACGAAGACCTCTGGTAGGGAACAATGGACTAGCCAAGACCCTATCGCCCAACAAAAATGCCGCAGAAGGAAATTGAAGTCAATTGGAAACATGTTGACAGGAGCCTCCAGTTAACGTCTCACACGCCAGATATACCCGTAGCGAGGAGTTGGGAGTGAACCCGAGGATAAAATGGAGGGAGTAACATGAGAAGGAAAAGAAGACCATGGATAATCGTGAAGACAGCTCGAAGTGATTGCAGAGAACACATTACAATAAAGAAGTGCGGTTGAAGCCGAATTCTCCGTTCGGAGACACAAAAAACGCCCGTGAACAGTATTTCCTCAAAGCTTTTGTTATATATCTCTAAGTAAATAATAAATTCAAGATGAATAGTTATTTATTCTAATTGATGTTTGAAGATTAACACACTGGTCAACTTACCAAACTCCAAAAGGCCATACTTCTTAAGAATGGATCCTCGTGCTTGATTAAATGTTGTCTCAGGAAATCATGATAAGCAGATACTGTTGTATGTCCTGATATTCCTGGTGACGATGATGTATACAGTCTAAAATGGAAAGAAATATACGCGTAAAATTTAATAGGCAAAGCAAAAGTATTATTTTGAAGTACGCTTAGTTCAAACACCAACATCAGACAGTAAAAAACTTTAGATGATAACTTAAGAGCACTGCAGCACTGTTTCGTCCCATTAGGGGAATACTCAACAGTTCGCATCTGACATCTAACCACAGAACAAGACATACAGAATCATGACATTATTATTTATACTAATCCCTTTCATCTCTTCCACACACACGACCTCCTCCATGTGGCATAACAGTTTTCTCAACGTGTGTCACAGCCGTCTCTGTATATTTGTTCCTTGAGTAATAGGTCCTTGATTTGTTAGGTCCCACAGTTTCTTGTTCCTGAATGTTTTTCTGGCCACCCGTCTGATCTTCAGTATGAAGCCAGTGAAGAAAGCCGTTGGTGCAAATCTGTAGTAGCCTGTTGGAAATACTGTTCGCGAAGCTAATGTCAAGTTTCCAAATCGTATAGAAGAGAAGAACTGACCGGTTTAACATTGGCGTTGAAAATCCAAATGTCGTTCTTTATGCTAAGTGATGAATGTTTATCTTGCCTTTCGGAAACGACGCCTTCTCGATGAGTGAAGAAGTGGCTTCTTTCAAATTTATTCCGTTGATAGTAATTAGTGCTTGTTGTTGTTGGTTGGTTGGTTATCTTCATCAACTCTGTCTTCTCTATGTTCACCTGAAGTCCTGTGTTTGCTGCATGTCTCTTCTCCCAACCTGTTGGTTTCACCTGTAAGTCTTCAAATTTATGTGACATTGGACACAAATCGCCCGCGAAGTCTCGTTCCTGTTTTCTCGCTCCTCACAGTCTGATGCATGTTTTTAGTCCACCACAATTAAGAATGTCATCGATGATAGTAGTCAGTCTTGTCCTAATCCTGCCATCGCTTCGAAGACTTCTCTGAGTTTTCTGTTGTGGATTACTTGACATATAGCATTTTCACATACAGCTGTTAAATTACGTTGATAAAGATTTTGAGCACTCCATAGTGTTCGAGGGAGCAATTTCACCATCCAACTGTGGAGTAAGAATTCAACAATCTATAAATTTCAACTTCTTTCAGTTCAAGACAATATCACAAGTACTGTGGGTGAGTAAGTATCACTACACCCCCACTTCGAAAATCAGCATGGATTGACGACGTAATTTATCCCAATATTAAACAAACTCCCGAAAATTCCAAATTCTGAATCTTCACCCTTATTCCTTCCTTCCTCATTGAAATAAAGGGGTTTCACGCCTTCTAAATTTTCAGTAGAAGTAGCATTGCTAGCCATAAGCTTAACCAGCCGCCCTAGCCTACTATCTTCTTGTCAACTTGGAGAAAACTGAGAGTGGATGGACCAGGTATCGATCCTAGAACTAAGTCAGCATTCTACTATTGGAACAACTAACGCACAGAGTTCTGAAGATTCACTAATCAACCTTCGATATGGAGATCCTGACACTGTAGTGAGAAGCTGTGACTGTTGAGGTACAGCATTCTGTCAGCTTGGCCAAGAGATATCCAACTGCATACGAACTGATGAATGCTCAATTGACTGAAGTCACCGGATTCCAAAAGTTGGAATTTAGAACCATAGTGCAGAATTGACATATCTTAAGGAATATCGATTAATGATGACATGATCAAAGTGTGAGTGTTGACTGTCAAAAGTATACGCTATATAATGCACTGAATATTTTCCTGTAATGCCTATCGCAGTGGCCTAACAAGCTTCACTGGCCGGAAGGAATATTCCTGCACGTCTCGTCCTATCATGCCAAACATAAAGATGATAGGATATTGAAAGTTGTCTGAGAGCCAGGGAATAGGAATGTAACAGTGTAGTAAGGCGTTTCCCTCAGATGACTAGCAAGTCAGTTATGCTGTGTACGGAAGGGGATGGGGTGCTAAAGATATATCCCTATATTCAAGTGTTGGTTTGTAGGGATTTGATTGGTTACAGGATTTTCATCATGAGCTGACATTAGTTAGAGAACCATTGGAAAACCTGCTGGGAGTACTGGACGGCTGTTTCGTCCTAGTTTGGGACTCCTCAGCAGCGCGCACCCACCGGGATTCGAACCCAGGACCTTGTGATTACATGGCGAGCTCGAATATCAATGAGATGCTCACTAGTGACTTGCCCTATTCAGGTAGGTAGTTGCCTGGGGTTCTAGTGAAAGTCGTGACCAGTAGGGTGCAGCAGGTCGGGCGTGAGGACAAATACTCCCCGAAGACATTGGCTAGGGGTCGCGCTATGTCGTGAATTGGCAGAAGTTAGAATTCATGGACCATTGGATCGGGTCTCGGTGGCTTAATAGTATACGAGCTCGCCTTGTAACCAGAAGGTTCTGGATTGGAACCCTTGTGGTGGGTGCGTACTGCTGAAGAGTCCCAAACTAGGACGAAACAGCTGTCCAGTACTCCCAGCAGGTTTTCCAATGGTTCTCTAACTAATGTCAGCTCATGATGAAAATCCTATAGATCCCTATAATTGTACATTCCAACTTGTCTCGCATCAGTCCCCGTAGCCACTCCAACTTGATAAATTAGTATGGACTGATGACGAAATCTATCCTTACATATTAAACAAACTCCTACAAATTCCAAATTCTAAATCTTCACCCGTATTATTTGCTTTCTCAGTGAAATATAAGTGTTTCACGCCTTCTGAAATTTCAGTAACAGTGCTGTTGCTTTAACGCAGTCGGCTTGTCATAAGCCATAAGCCCAATCTACCCCACCCCCTTTCATTGGCCTACTATCTACTAGTCAACTGGGTGAGGCGACTAAGAGTGAAGTGACCGAGGATCGAACCCCAGAACTTCAACTATAACTGGGTCAGCATTCTATCATCGAACAACCGACGTAAAGGGTTCTGAAGACTCATTAATCAAGCTTCAAAATGGAGACTGTGACACTGTAGTGAGAAGGTGTGACTGTTGAAGTGCAGCATGCTGTCAGCTGTGGAAAAATTGTATGCAATTGTATGCAACATCATAATTTCCAGTCAACGCTTTAGGCAATATCCAGCTACATAAGAAATGACGAATGCTCAATTGACTAAAATCACCGGATTCCAAAAGTTGGACTTTGGAACCAGGGTGTAGAATTGACATATCTTAAAGAAAATATTGATGAATGATGACATGATCAAAGTATGAGCGTTGACTGTCCAATTGATACGCTATAATGCACTGAGTACTTTGCTATAAGGTGTACTACTGTAACGACAGAAGGCAAGAGTCAGGCAACAGATCATTTATTAAGGAAATCAACGCATATTTATATATTTTCATATACATTACTATGGATATTTAAGTAAACAAACACAGTCTTCCGATTGGTTGTTTCTCACGTAAAGTTAATTTTTCATCTCTTTGTGACTGTTTCTTGAATGTCAGATCCTCTATATGTTAACTGCATCCGCCTACGCAAAGTCTGTTGTGGTCGGTTTTGAATCAATCTTTGTTCATATTTTCTCACGACAAATCTTGAGAACGTAAATATTGACGTAAATTACTGTCTACCAATTTGGCTAGTAGACAGCTCTCACCACACTACAGTGGCTTAACAAGTTACACTGGCCGGAAGGAATGTTCCTGCATGTCTCGTCCTATCATGTCAAAAATGATGTTAGGAAAGTAATTAGACAAAAACTAGTTACCACTATATTGAAAGTCGTCTGAAGCTAAGGCATATCGGCTGAGGAATAAGAAAGAATCTAACATAACAGTAAGGCGTTCCCCTCGGATGATTAGTAAGCCAGTTATGCTGTACGGAAAGGGGATGGGTTGTTGAAAATCGATCCCTAAAATTGTACATATCAACTTGTGTTGCAACAGTCTCCGTGGCCGTGTATTGAGAGCTGTCTGCCTGCTGAAATTGGGAGACAGCAATTTACGTCAATGTTTACATCCCAAATCTTGGTCATGAGAAAAAAACAAACAAGAACAAAAACTAACTCAACAACCAATAACGACAGAATTTGCGTGGGCGGATACGATTCGCAGATATATGGTCTGACCTTCAAAGAAACATCCACAAAGAGATGACAGAATAACTTTCAGCGAGAAAACAACCAATCAGAAGATGCTGTTTCTCTGCTAATAATAACGAATAATAATGTACAAAAAATATGTATAAATATCTCTTGATTTCCTCAATAAACGATCTGTTGCTTGAACCTTGTCTTCTATTGTTACAGCCGAAGAGGCAAGGTTTTCATATAGACACAATCCTAAAAACCACTTGAAACAGACTATGTGTGTACGAATGACCGCAAGGAGTTGTAGTGAAACGGGCGACTATAATGCGACACTAATGCTCATTCTGCTTCAGGTGTTTTTCCAACATCTTACCATTTGGGGTAGATTCAGTGAGAAGTGTGTGCTTCTAGTGAGAAGCCGTGACTAGTAGGCTCCATGAGGTCAAGAATGAGGATATATACTTTCCAGCGATGACACTGGTGGCTGGTGCCAGTCCCGCTAAAATCACGAATCGATAGAAGTTAGAATTCATGGGATGGCCATTGGCGAGTAGGGTCAAAAGTGGCTGAATGGTCTACGACCTTGACTTGTGATCGGAAGGTCGTGAGTGCGAACTGATGAAGAGTCCTGAACTAGAAGGAAAAAGCTGCACGCAATAATCCCTATTCGTTTCTAATGGTTCTAGAACTGATATCAAGTATGTGGACGAAATTGAAAGGTGTATTTAGTTGAGGCTAAGACGAACTCTAACAGACAGTCATGAGGAACGACTGAGCTTCATCATCGAGAATAACTCATTATGCAATAGGAGAATTTTTTGATGTAATTGTGTTCTCTGAGCTGGATGGTTTATTTGCGAAGCTTTCATTGCCCTACTAGGCAACATCTTCAGCGGATACTCCAGCTCAGACGACACAACTACATCAGAAGCATCCACCTGAGCTACAAATCTCCTCCATCAAAGCAATGGTGGAAGCATTAAAAAAACTAATAATAATAATTATTATTTTATTTTATTTAAACGCAGAAAAACTTGGTACAATATGGCACCAAGAAAGATACGCCACACAATATTAATAAAACAATATAGATTAAAAGTAAAAATATAAGTAGAAAACGGATATAGAACTTCATCAGGAAGGAAAACAGTCCTGTTTAACAAGTTCAGACAATATTCGTTATCTATCATCAGGAAGGGAAGAAAGAAGGAAATGGCAACACGTTCGTCATTGATTACGATTCTTGGCCATATCCGATAACGTTTCGAGCCATCGATTCGAGCTATCTCGTGGACCCCAACCAGGGAGTCGTGACACACCAACCGATGCTAATCTAGCACAAATATCCTTCATCCCACGACGCCACGTCATGGACTGACCACCCCTCCTTTTCCATCCCGCCCCAGGGCTAGCGAACAGAGACCTGTACGGAAGCGTCTGGGGTGACATTCGCAGCACATGTCCAAGCCACCGGAGCCGGTGTTTCCAGACGACAACATTCAATGAATGGTGATCTACACTGTGTTCAAACACACGCCACCGAACCTCAGAATTACTCACGCGATGATGCCATCGAACGCAAGCGATGATCGAATACACAGAGCCGCCTCACATCCTCAGCTCGGAGAGGCCAGGTTTCACAGGCGTAGAGCAAGACAGCCCGCACCGAAACATCATATACCCGACCTTTGACAGCCAGGCTAATGTCGCGACGTCCCCAGAGGTGGCTCAAGTTGATGTATGCCACCCTAGCCTTCATTATACGGTTAATAATAATAATAATAATAAAGATACTAACAACTCAAATAACATACCTTACTATCAGGACACCTAGCTGTAAGTCCTTCAGAGTATCTAAACACACCCGCACAGCATCTTCCAAACAACCAGCTAACAGAAATAATCCAGCCGCTTGAAGATATTTATGCTGACTAAGTAGACGAAAGGCATTCAACTTCGCTTGTCGACAGGCTGGTTGACCAGGTGTAAAATCTGAACGGAAGAAATTCTCCAATGTTTTATTTCCAGTAGTTCTGATAAAAAGAGGGAAAAAGAAAAAGAGAACAAGACAAGGAGTAACACTTTATGCCAGGATGTTTGCTTTCTTGATTACCCACTTGATGGAATCAAGTACATCACATATATTGTGGTGATCCGAATAATTTTGGTCTTCACAAGAAACTTTAGTGAAAATTTCATCACCTCCTCGAACTGTATGTAGATTGTACACTGTTAACCAATCGGCGTATTGTGAATTCGATTTATGGTATGAGCACAGTTCAACCAAGTAGCCAGCTAGATAACCAGCTAGAAATAGAGTGCGGTTTGAACTGATTCAGCTCTATGAGCTGAGTCGAATCGCCTAGGTACACACCAATGTTGATAAGCTCCGCCCCAGATGAACGAAACAGCAGTCCTGTGGTGTGTTTAGATCACCTCGATCTGGCTGGTTGGCTAGCAAGCACAACCTATTGATATGTGTGGTGTGATATGCAACTAGTACTAATCTACTACTGGATTGGACTGGTTTCAACACGCAACTTTGTACAGATGTCCACCAGTTCGTGTTACTACACTGCCTCCATGTAGCACACAAAACAAGAGAATAGAGTAAAGAAAGACTCAAAATACAGAGAAATGATAAACAGAAGTGTGAGTGAAGGAAAAAGAATAGTAACATGGAAAATGAATAAAATTTTATTGGATATGACAAATCACAAAGAGTGAATGCATCTGAGCCAGCCATTGAGAACCATTTTGAGCCAAACCACCAATTTTCTCCAGCCTTCATTGCTTTGTACCATCCTAAAGACCCCAATCAAGTAGACTGGTAGTCTACACCTCTCTACGTGGCTGGCTTAAAACTAACTGTTGTGGATTCCATTGACTGAAGAAGTGACGTCTTGGTTTGACCACCACTAGCAATCTTTTCCAACCTGACCAATCATGTGTCAGCTAATACTGTCCGTAGAGGAAGGAGGTGGCTAAGGATGCATACGACACACATGTCCTAACCATCTCCATAGATGCAATTTCATAGCCTCGTCAACTGATTTCTCCTCGACCAAAGCCTAACCTCAATAATATACACCTTATTATACCACCTTACACAGGAAACAGAAGACAGACGCTTTTTCGTATCTTCCACTTTCAATGACCAGGTCTCACTCACAGCCATAAAGGAGGATACAGCAAACTTCTAAACAGTAGACACGCCCTTTGGTCGACGGTCAGCCGGATATCACGTCTACTAAGCCAGAGATAGCGTAAGTTGGTATATGCCAAACGAACATACGCTACCACTTCACTCCCTATTTCTGAGCTAGACGTGATATTTGATTGGCGATCCATCAAGGGATGTGCGTACTGCTCAGCAGTACTTCACTCCGTTCTTCATCATGGTTGTGAGACATGACCATTGGAATTGGAAGACATGAAAAGACTAGATGTCATTGACCAAAGGTGTCTCCGTTCTGTCTCCCGTGTGTGTTAGGTGGTATAATAGGATGGAATAGTATTGAGTTTAGGTCTCGAGTGTTAGGTAAGGTGGAAAGGTCAATCAATAAGGTTGTGAAGCTAAATTGATTGAGATGGTTAGGATATGTGTTACGCATTCCTAGTCGTCGCCTTCCTCGATAAGAAAACTTAACCGACATAGGACCAGGTTGGAAAAGAGCTAATGGCAGTAAAGGGAAAATTGCAATTAGTCCATGAAATCCACAACAGTTAGTTTAAGCCAGCCAGACACGTAGGGAGGTGTGGACTGCCAGACTGGTTGGAGTCCTTGGGATTATGAGGACCATTAGCTGAAGACAATCGGTAAGAAAGAAACCTCACATATAAAGGGTCAAAGTTCAAGTCAAAGAAACAATGAGTGACAATACAAGTAACCTAGAAGGTGTGAAAACACAGAAACAACTAATCACGTCCAAGGTGACCCACCAGGAGAGATGATTAATAAACTCGTGGAGAAATCTAAAAGCTCACTTCAAATTGAAGTCTGCGCTGAAGATGTCACCTAGTAGGATGATGAAAGCTTCGCAAATTAACTATGCAGCTCAGAGAACACAACCATATCAAAAAGTTACTACATTTCACAACATTCGTCGTATTACTGCCACTAAGGGAGGAAAGGAGGAAGTTGGCGGCATGTCCGCCATTCATTGAGATTCTTAGCCATACCCCATAACATTCTGACCCACCGATCCTAACTATCTTTCAGATAACAACCAGGGAGTCTTGATGTACCAATCCATGCTACACCAGATCATAAGACTGACCACCTCTCTGCCCTTTTCATTCAGTCACAGGTCTAGCGAACACAGAACGGTACGGAGGCCTCTGGGATGTCATTCATAGCACGTGTTCACCAAGCCACTGAAGGCGGTGTTTCCCCAGATGACGACACTTAATCGATAGTGACCTCCACAATGTGTCTGGACACACGCTATCAGGCCTTAGAATTACTCACAAGATGATTCCATCAAACGCAATCAATTCTACGGAGACAGTGGTGATCGAATACGCAAAGTCGCCACCTGACACATCCTCAGCTCGCAGAGGTCACGTTTCACAGACTTAGAGCACAATTGCGTTGTACACCCAATACCTTTGACAGCTACTCTAGCTTTCACTATACGGATAAAAATCCCGTCTGTCAAACCACCAGCACTCACACAACTAATCGGATGCACGAAACAATCGACAACTTTCGAGCGATTCCACCTGCAAGAGTGAGTGCATGTACAAGCTCCTGACAATCTGACGACAGTACTTTGCACTTAGATGGCACAAAGCAAATGGTTCCACTATCTGAATGCACTGATTATCTCGCATACTTATTATTACTTTTATTTACTTTATTGAATTACACTCGAATATCGAAAAAAAATGTTATGTAAATCTTGAAATAAATTTGCATAATTCCAATTAAAATCATTTTTTAAATATAAGCGTGATGTGATGAGTACACACATTTCTAAATAATGTGATTACCTGTGAAGATATTTTACATGTTAAGTTAATAGAAAAATAGAAACACCGATGGATGAAATAAGGTCAAGTGAATCAATCATAAAGTAATATAAAATCTGATTGGACACTAGTTAATTACCAGAGTACTATGTGTCTTCCTCCTTTGTTTGTTTAGTGCAGACTGAATTCTATCAGTCAGTCAAGTTTGCAATGTGGCCACTATAATCCACTAGGTGGCTCTCCATCATTACGGTACACTTTGAATAGTTGATGTTAGATGGTTGAAGGCAATCGGCAGGAAACCTACCTGACCTAGGTTTCGTGCTAGTTGGCACTTACCGGTCAGCAAGGCATATCTGCAACCAATACAGTCCTACAGAATAGCTCAGTGGTGATGCCGCTGACTGTGCAGCCAAGACTGGGTGACGCTCCGTCCTTCTTTATGGCTCTGAAACATGGCCAATACGAGTTGAAGACATGAAAAGGTTGACTGTTTTTGATCATAGATGTCTACGATCTCTTTCTCACGTTAGGTGGTATAATAAGGTAAGTAATGTTGACGTTAGGCAAAAAGGGAAAACCAATCGACGAGGCTATAAAGTTACATAGATTGAGATGGCTAGGTCACGTGCTGCGCATGTCTAACCATTACCTCCCTAGACGGACGGGCATTACTAGCTGATATAGGTGCAGGTTAGAAAAGAGTAAGTGGTGAAATGCCAAACAAAAACATGGCCTCATCAATCCATGAAATCCCCGACAGTTAAACTGAGTCAGGTAGGGAGGGAGATGCAGACTTCCGGGTTGGGGCCCACCCTCGGGACTCTAAGAATCAATGGCTGGAGACAATAGGTGACATGGCTCAAAATTGTTGTCAATGGCGCAGATGTATCCATTCTCTGTAATCTTTCATACTCTTTTCTACCATTACTCATTCTGTTTCACTCTTATACTTGTCAAAACTCTATTGATTCTCTTCACTCATCTTCTTGTCTACCTTTGTGTGCTATTTGGAAGGTGGCAACTCGAACTGCTGCACTTCGGTTCCAAGTTCTATGTTGAATCCAGACAGAGACAGACTGGGTGACGCGGGTTCGAATCTCAGACAGGGGATATGAGTTCCTTCAAGGTGATTTCAGACAGGCCTTGCTGACTGACTGGTGAGTGCTAACTAGCACGAAATCTAGGTCCCAGCAAGACTTCCTGTCGACTGCCTCCAACGATCTAATATCATGTAATAGAAAATGTCTAAAATAGAAGATTTTAACGCAAAACGATGATAAAACAATAATACGGTATAGTAAGAGCACTCAATCAATGAACTATAGATATTTATTTACACACAGAACCCGTTCAATATTGGCGCCTGTTTAAGGACTCTTCAGTAGAACGCACCCACCATAGGGGTTCGAACGCAGGACCTTCTGGTTACAAGGGTAGCGAGCTCGTAGACCATTAAGCCACTGGTCGCGCTACCTCATGAATTGGCAGAAGTTGGGATTCATGGGATGACCATTGGATCTGGTCCGAGTGGCATGATGGTCTACGAGCTCGCTGGCCTTGCAACCAGAAAGTTCTAGGTTCGAAAACCCTTGTGGTGAGTGGGTTCTGATGAAGAGTCCCAAACTAGGGTGAAACAGCTTTCCAGTACAAACAGGTTTTCCAGTGGTTCTCTAACTGATGTCAGTTCATGATAAAATCCTCCAATCAATGAAACCTTTATTATCTACGATAAATATCGATGTCATAATTCAATTTTGAGTCATTTCAACAATGCTCATTTAAGAGGCTTGTACTTCACCTACAAAACGTGAACCAAATTACCTATTTCCACTTTCTCAACGCTTCACAATAACGAAAAGAGAAGAATCTGTCATAAGAAGAAGAAAAAGAAGTAGATCACTTGGAAAACTGGTGACCGAACTTCCAAATGTCATTTAATTACATGGTGAACATATTTAAATTGGTGATGGTGTAAAGGAAGAACTCCACAGGATATAAATATATATATATATATATATGCATGCAAGCTTACTTGAACAATGCAGCTACCATTTTAGCTTTACGCATAGCTAAGTAGAACACAGCAGCATCCATAGGATCTTTGGTGGTTTGAAATGCGGTACGCGCCATCTACAAGATCAATCAAAACAAGACAAAAGATTGAACAGCTTAGTGATTCACTTATGAATACATGAGAAGTTATTCACTTTTTGGACATACTTTGACTGAAATATGTGTTCACAGTTGTGTTAGATTGACACTACGTGAAGACGCTGACAAAATCCAGAGTCTTTTGAACACACCTCATGGAGCAGCGAACTTCGACTGCTTGGTATACGATTTGCTCCTGTCACATGTAAGATGATACTACAGGACTGGGATACGTCGACGTTTAGCTTACAGATGGACAGGAGCGAAGTGGTTGGTGAAGCGTGTTGACTACTTCACATAATTGGGAAGCCACATCAGTCCTAACGAGTTGATCACTCACAAAATCTCAACACGGATATAAAAGGGTGGTGTGGGATTCTCCAACATGCATCATCTCTCGTGTAGACGCGATATCTGGCCGGTTATCGATCAAAGGACGTGTGCACTGCTTAGGAGCATATCACTTTGTCCCCGTTTACTGCTGAGTGAGAGATGGCCATTGAAAGTGGAAGATATGAAAAGGCTAACTGTCTTTGAGGTTAGGTAGGGGGGGAGGGGAAAGCCAGTCAACGAGGTTGTGAAGTTACTGAAGTAAGTGTAGAACTTGGGCGCTGTGGTATTAGAATGTGATTCCATATTAGATATGTTTACTTTAAATATCACACACAGTGCTGATGCAATATTAACAACTCGATGACAAGGTTTCGATCAGAAATTGTTGTTACTCATAATCATCATATCAATTTAGTCACATGGCTTCACAATTTGTCTTGCACGTACATCTCCTCTCTTTCTGTCTCTCCAGCCTCCTTTCGTTGTTTGTTGTCACTTTCAATATCTCCGGTCATTCCGATTGATGCACGTGTGCGGTGCTGAATCGATAAACAAAGATTCAGTGATAAACCTCTCTTTCTCTCTCTCCACCTAATTACATTACTTTTCAATACTCTTACCCTATTCCACACAAGCTATTTTGTGATCCCATGCAAGTGAATGCAATGCAATGGCCGAGCTTTTTTATAGGTTATTTAACTTAGCTGGGACAATTATTTTAAGTGTCTAGCTAAACTTTTATGTTTCAATATTCTGGTTGACCCCAATCTACTTGACCTCACTAACAGTCATTGGGTTATTTATTTTATTTTTCTTAATTCGATCTATTGGGTGCTTAAGTCAATACAGTTTATATTTGAGTTGCTTGGTTTAAATGCCACCCTAATTCCAGGATCATTGAGAAATCTACGTAATGCCTCTGACGTTCCTTCTTTCAACAGAAGTAGTAGTAGTGATATAGAGGCTTTTAACTCAATATTATATTCGTCACTTTTATTGCCAGTCTTAGTTTTTCTATGGTTCATCATATATTTTTGAATAAATTTTGGTGGGTAGTTAATCAACTAGTAATACATAGTGAAGTTACATTGATTGACATGGTTAGGACAGGTGTCAGGCATTCCTAACCATCGCCTTCCTTGACAGGAAATGCTAACTGACACTGGATTGTTCAGGTTGGAAAAGATCGCTAGTGGTGTGGTCAAACAAAAACCTGGAATTATTTCATAGAATCTTTACTGGTTAATGTGAACCAGTCACGTAGGGAAAGAAATTGTTTTAAATCTCATTAAAACAAACAAAAACAAGCATACATTTACCTTTTCAGCACATCGGATAAGTAGACTTTCACTTCGAATCCACCAACCACAACCGTATCGTTTAAAATCAGGCCAATTCAACTCTAAAGCATCAATACTACTCACACCGCCTGTAGTAGTAGTAGTAGTAGATGTTGTTGTTGTAGCAGCAATTGGTAAACGTGATAACAACTCTTCTTGTGAATCAGAATGATACGCCCAAACAAGACTAGAATTAGTTAAACCAGACGACTGAAATGATATTTGACACACAAAAACAAAGTGAAAGAGAGTAAGTAACACAATGAGAGCGGATCACATAGAGAAATCATCATCAACGTCATTATAAGGCATTAGAGCAAACGGAAAGAGACAAATATAAGTAGTACATTTACACATCTCTTTACATTACAACTCACAAATCGATTAAAAAGAAACAGTAAGACATTTTAGGATGAATTTATTGTCACTTCGTTTTTTTTGTCTCCAGTACTGTTCCCTGGTGTACAGAATCTTCAGAGGAGTTTACTGCATGACATTTTCCCTTCGTCCGATATCTTTAAGTTAGAATATTGACTTTTTTTCCTTCACGTTCCCCAGTGGAACATAGGGCTTCAAGCTTCTGGCTTGAAGTTTCTGTAGCAGTGTTTACTTTTTACAGGATGGGGTTGCTAGCCTCATGCCCAACCTTTCCTCTTTACCAGCATTATTTCTGGCTTAGCGAGGTAAAGGAGTGCGTCTGTGGCCGGGGATCGAACCCCGGACCATGTGTATGGTCGGTGAGCGTCCTAACCGCTATATCACCGACGCACAAACATTAACTGATGGAAGTATATCCTGTGACACACAATGCTTTTTGAGCTGATAAAGCACAAACCATTCCATTATGATAAATCTGCTTTGTCTCCTTCAAGACATCCACGATATTTAGTTGAAAACCAATTGTAAGATGTTCAGAAGTACATTTTGAGACCCAAGGAGAGAACCGAAGAACAGTTACTTCATGTATTGGAACACGTTGACACTCACAATCAGGCCTTTCCTCAAGTGCAAGACATGAAAAGGTCAGCTAGCTGTTTCTGATCATAAGTGTCTCTGTTCTATCCTCTGTGATAGGTGATACAATAAGCTGAGCAATATTGAGTTTAGGTGTTGAGTGCTAAGTTGGTGGGAGGAGAAATCAATCGACAAGGTTGTGAAAGTACACCGATTGAGATGGTTAGGACATCTGTTACGCATGCATCCCTAGCCATCGCCTTCCTCGACGGCCAATTTTAACTGACATAGCATTAGGTTGGAAAAGTTCGCTAGGGGTGGTCAAACCAAAACATGGTATCAATCACTGAAATCCACAACAGTTAGTTTAAGCTAGCCAAGTAGGGATGTGTAGACTACCTGATTGAGGTCCTCAGGATGTCAAATACCAATGAAGGCTGGAAACAATCGGTGATATGGCTCAAAATCGTTCTCAATGGCTTGAGCAGATGCATTCACTTCTTGTGATTTCTAATTTCCAATGAAACTATATTGTTCTTCGTTATTACTATTCCTTTGTCTCACACCTCTGTTTACTGTCTCTTATATGCATTTCTCCTACTTTCTTCTTTTGCATTGAACTACTGCACATCGATGCAGAGGTCTGTGTCGAAAACAGACAGACAGACTACGACCTCGCATTGTAAATGAAAGCTCCTGGATTCGAACCCTGGCGGTGGGTGAGCACTGATGAAGAGTCGCAAACTAGGACGAAACAGCTGTCCAGTACTTTTTGGCAGATTTTTCAATGGTTTTCTAACCAATGTCAGCTCATGATGGAATCCTGTAACCAATCTGTAACCTGGTAGTTAGCCATATATATCTCATGTTGTATAAAAGCTATTGATACTACCTGGTTGCCGCCAAATACTTACAGGTAAGTAGCAGGGTTCGAATCCACTACCCATTCACTGTTCAATAATTAGTTTGCCTACCTAAACACTAGTGAGCTACCACAATTTCTTTCATTGATAATCAACTCCGAGATTTTGACTTCTCCATTAATATATCACATCATGCCTCATGCTAGCCAACCACGCCTCACCTGGTACAGGGTTCGATCTTCAGACGCCAACGCACTGCTTAACCTCACTAAGTCAGTGGTAGAGATTGGTAAAGGAGGAAGGTTGGGCGTGAGACTAGCAATCCCGCGACCCATAAAAATAGACGAAACCACTTACTAACGAAACTTCAAAGCTCTAGCTTGAAGCCCTATATTCCACTGGGTACGTAGAGGAATAAAATAACAATAATGTGTATATTGCTTCACTACGATTATTATGTTATTATTATTGTTTCCTTTAATTCCTAGAGGAACATAGGGCTTCAGCCGTGCGTTTCCATTGCGTTCGGTTCTCTGCTAGATTCGGCCTACACGTTTTCATCTCCTCTTCACATGACCTCCAAGTCACCCTTGTACTGAAGACCGACTCGCCGCTTCCCTTTCGGGTTTCACTTGATGGTTTCCTCAGAGTATGGCCAGCCAATCCATCTCCGTTTCTTCCTGCCTATTTGTTTCACAATCGGTTCCTGGTTGGTTCGCTCATTGCCAGAGATCCCTGTTGCTGATTTTTTCTGGCCATCTGATCTTGAGTATTGAGCGAAGACAACTGTTAATGAAGGTCTGTAGTTTGTTTGAGATGCTCTTTATGACACACCGTCTCTGATCTGTATAGTAGTCAAAGACTCTACCACAAGCTCAAATGCATACCTACTCAATGCTCCACCTCTAAAGGAGATAATCTATTGATTGGAATTATTACTTACTGCTTTAGGAAGACAAAAGAAAACTAACTGAGAATATTTTTCAAAATACTTACGATAATAATAATAATAATAATAACGATTGACACTTACAAGGAGTTGAGCTCTACGAGCCGGCGGGAGTGTTTTACTCAAATACGAGTAAAGTTGAACAGTCAAGAGAAATCGTAAACCGCATTCATCTAAGCCTTGAAAAAAAATGGGAAGATGTTTTATATAATTATGTGTGCTAAACGGATGCAGATTGATAGGAAGAGGCGAAAAATTGAAGTCAACATTTTAAATCAATGACTGTTGCACAGGTAGTAGTGTTTATTCGTCAAATCTGGATTTAGTTTACGTTGTGGTCTTGAAATAATCTCACTGGACAGCTTTTCGTCCCCCTTTTTATCTAACCCAGGCCACTAGGGTGATAGCCAGGAATCCTAACCACTATAATACTGTCATGACGATCAAAGGTGAGAGTAAAAATGACAACGTCTCCTATCTATGAACACACCATACACAATTTATCGCTTAATGTGCGGAGTTGAATTCAGACGTCCTAAAAGTTCCACCGAAACTTTAGCTATACATGAACAAAAACCCAAAATATTATATTCAAATGAAAGAATTTGTTAAAAACCCTTTTCATGATAGTAATGTTCTTTATTTTTATCGGTCGAATTCATTTCACTTCATTTCATCTTCGCACTTTTAATTTTTTGACACCATTTGGTTTACTTTAGAAATTTTTAATACATAAATTCACGTATTTGAACTTAGACAAAAAAGTACTGTGGTGAGAGCTGTCTACTAGCCAAGTGGTGGACAGTAATTGAGGTCAATGTTTATGTATCAAATATTAGTCATGTTGTGGTGAGAGATGATTGCTGGCCAAATTGGTTGACGGTAATTGAGGTCAAAGGTCAAGGTTGACAGGCGGTTACAGTTAACATATAGATGAACTGACACAGCCACAAAAGATGCAAGGTTAACTTTGTGTGAGAAACAACTTATCAACAGACTGTATTTTCTACTAACATTAACCTACAATAATGTACACCAAAATCTATAAATATGTGTTGATTTTCCGTAATAAACGTTCTGTTGCCTGGCCCTTGTCTTCTGTTGTTACAGTACCACTAGAAGACATAACCCTACAAGTGTAGCTACCTTTGATTTCTACAATATTAAAATTCCAAGAGGGAAAATGTACAAACAGAAGGAGTTGTCATGGTATAACCAATATCCGCGATATATATATATATATATATATATATATATATATATATATATGAACTCCACACGGTTTTAGTGCCAATTAATGTCTGTTTTCCATAATATAAATACAACTGTACAATGTGACAACGGAGTCGTTGGACAGAGGAACATGTTTCCCTGAATAAAACTGTGTTCCTCGTTACTCATGAATAAATGAGTGCATTTCATGATTATTGTCTAATGACAAACGTGATTATAATGAGTACACCGGGTTACGCATGTAGGACATGAGGATGCACACTCGCCGTGGATGACATTAACTGGTGCCAACGATAAGATCACAAATTTGTAGAAGATGGAATTCACGCAATGGCCATTGGATCGGGTCCCATTGGCTGAATAAATAGTGTAAGAGCTTGATATGTAACCTGAAGGTACTGGCTTCAACACCTATGGCGGATGCGTACTGCTGAGGAGTCAAGAACTAGGACGAAACAGCTGTGTGCAGTATACTCCTTGTTGAATTTCAATGATTGTCTTAATTGATGTCAACAACTCATGATCAAAGTCTACAGACTAATTCTTGAGAAATGTTATCATTTTATGAAATCACTTATAGAATGCCGAGTGAAACATTGACTATTTTATCTGAACGTGTAGTATACGAGATTAATTTTAACTGGAATGAACGTGTATTTATGTATAACTGTAAGAAGACGGTTCAAATAAGGAAGAGACTGCATGCGTTCCCTAGAAGTTTTCAAACAAATTCGTTTACACGACAAATACTAAGAATCAGCACAAATCTAGGTTGTAAAAACCATAAGCCATCAATCACACTGAATTACAAAAATAAATACCCTTCTTAATGTAAGTGGTCTTAGTGTATAAAGCCTTAAGTGGAGAATATAATCACCGATAGGACACTGACTATTCTTCAGTAATCTGCTAATGAAAATCGTATATTACAAGATAACTGGAGTTCGTGGGGAAACAAGAGTAAGACAAAGATCGCAACCATGAAGGAAGGGTACCGAATTCCATTCCCAAACAATTGGGGGTGCAGAGTCATTTCTAAACGAGGATGGAACAATCGGCCGGGACTACCTGATTTCCAAGACCCCTCTAACTGATGCCACTTCATAAGATCTATCTTATTTCATTATCATATTATAACTGTTCTCTTTGGTTTTCGAGTGGAAAGTAGGGCTTAAACTACACATTTCCGTTCTCACTCTATATTCTGAACTCCATTCCAGATGCCCGTATCGATTGCTCACACAATCTACTCCATGTGTTCACCTAGGATATATACAGAATTCGTCATGTGCCATTCAGGTTGCACTCAAGAGTCTGTCTCAGGCATGATGTCAATCACGAAATTCACCTCAGAGTACATCTCATCAATTTACTTCGGTATATATTTTTTTTTAAATTTCACAAATACAGTAAAATAAGTAGTATACATAAAAAATAAAGAATAATACATATAATAACTGACCTTGTTTAGTAGAACTATCTTTAATTGATGCTTGTTTTGGTAATGATGATGCATGCTGTTTACTATCACGTCTTGTAGAACTGCCTACTGACAAGCAATCAGTAATATCTGAATGTGTTTTAGCCATTAAATCAGCTATGCCAAGTAAATACATTTGATCTAATGGTGATAGACCAGGTAGCTGTTGAGTTGATAGACTGTATTGTTAATAAAAAGAAAATATAGGAGAAGGGGTGAAAAGAAAAAGATACAGAGATGGGAGGCATAGTAGGTCCACCCAGCATCAAGAAGTTAGCTCAACACTAATAGGCTTTTATAATTCATTCAAAATTAACTTATTATTATTCCATTGGGTTCCATGTGGAACAACAACACGTCTCGACTTTCTTCTATTTTCTGCTGTCCTCTTCACCTGGCTAGCTACACGATTTCCCATAATCTATCATCTCCTTTTACTCACACGATATCCTTCATGTTACTCTCGCACCGACGACCCACTCGTCGCTTCTCATTGGAATTCCACTCGAGCGATAGCCTGCATTGAGCGCGATATCATTCGATGGTTTTTTCCTGAAAGTATGCTCATTCCATCTCCATTTTCTCCTACATATTTGTTGAGCAATCGAGTCTTCGTTAGTTCGTCACCTCCTAGAGTTTGTGGCTGCTGATTCTTTCTGGCTAACCGGTCGGCCATTTGATCTTCAGTATAGAGCCAGCGAATTAGGCAGCTGTTGATAACAGTGTAAAGCTCGCTGAAAATACTTTTCGTGACGCACACACAATGCAAGTTTCTGACCCATATAGAAGAACTAACTAAATGACTGAAAATTTATCTAAATTCTGTTCTTTATGCTGAGTGCAGAAGATGAAGGCGTATCTTGCCCTTCCAATTCGGGCTGGCTTTGACATCTTTATCCGTTCCGGCAGCCTGCGGTTGAAGCCATGCCTCCTGGCAAGACAAGTGATGATTGGCGCTTGTTGTTTTTGTAGGTTTGTTGTGTATCTTCATCACCTCTGTCTTCTCTATGCTCACCTGAAGTTTTGTCTCCGCTGGTCTCTTCTTCTTCTTCTTCTTTCAACAGGAGTAAGACAAGCTGGCTGCCTATTATCACCGATGATACTCCTAATTGTGGTGGACTCGATTATGCGTCAAAATGTACACGGGGAGTGAGAAGACAGGAATGCGTTGAACTGACCAACAACAAGAATCTAGAAGATATGGATTTCGCCGACTAGTTTATGCCTAATGCCACACATACTCAAAAACTTACTTACAGGCGAAAAGCAACAAGTTGGAAGAAGAAACAGTCGGGGAACACAGGGCTTCGAGTGAACCTGGAGAATACGGAGGAGTTGAAGGTAAACGACTATCATCACCACCATCAACAACAACAACAACAAGCACCAATAACTGTCAATGAAGGAAATCTCAACGAGGTCACTTCCTCCACTTGTGTAAACAGTAACGTTTTAACTGCAGGCGATAACATGGATGAAGATATCAATCAAATCAAAATCATTGGATGTGTAGCGGTAAATAATTCCCCAAAATTATGAATCACAGCAATCATCACTCAACATTGCATGCTGACCATCACTGTTTAAGTCGACTTGTTTAGCTGAAGGCTTCCGGTCAAGCATCCCCGCCATTTGGTACTCCGCCGTGTCACGTGCGTGCACGATTACTAGCTAGCTACGCATTCACTTCTACCCGAGATTTTGTCCCGAAATGCACTACGTACTTTGGACGACAAAATCTGGTCTTTGCTTTATCTTTGGTACTCGAAGAACGAACACTATAGAAGTTGTTCGTATAAGATCTTGCGTTAGTATAATCCGTACAACTCGCGAACGTCGATACCTGCAACTTCTAAAGATGCTTTGAGAGTGAATGCCATGCACCGACAGGGATTATTATTATTATTATTATTTCCTTTAGTTCCTAGAGGAACATAGGGCTTCAGCCATGCGTCTCCATTGCGTTCAGTTCTCTGCTAGAGTTACCGACAGGGAAACTTCACTATTCTACCACGAACACAATGGTTCTCTAAATGATGTCAGCTCATGATGAAATCCTCCATGCAATCAAACAAAAATCCTTACAAAACCAATACTTGAAAATTAATCTGATGCTCACTAGCGACTGGTCCTATTCAGGTAGGCAGTTACCTGGGGTTCTAGTGGGAAGCCGTGACCAGTAGGGTACAGCAGGTTGAAGATGAGGCAGTAACTCATCGAAAAAGACATTGCGAAATGGTCGCGCTATGTCGTGAATCGGCAGAAGTTAGAATTCAAGGACCATTGGATCGGGTCCCAATGGCTCAATGGTCTACGAGCTTGCCTTATAACCAGAAGGTCCTGGGTTCGAAACCCCGGTGGGTGCTTACTGATGAAGAGTCCCAAACTAGGACGAAACAGCTGTCCAGTACTCCCAGGTTTTCCGTTGGTTCTCTAACTGATGTCAGCTCATGATGAAATCCTTCATGCAATCAAACAATGAACAGTGATAGACAGAATAAAAGCAATTCAAGATAAACGTATGAGAATTAGGTCATTAGTAATAATAATAATAGTAAATATCACATACTGTTCAGCAAGTACACGAGCATCATCTTCAGAAAACTGGATACTACGGGCTAATGCAGCAGGTTTCAATGACCATATACTGAAACCATAAAATTGTGATGCTTTTTGTGTAGATGAATTCGATTCTGTATGACTTTTCAATGAAGCACCATCAGCGCCTACTTCTTGTTCTTGCTCTTCTTCATTGAAATTTAAATCATCATCCTAGAGAAAGAGAAAAAAGATATATATATATATATGTACATATATCTATTCATGGCATATACTACTGACAAGATTCATAAGTAGTAGACATAAGCAGATCCAATTCAGAAAACTTTTATATATTTTACGAG